GTACGTGGGTGGGTGGGAGAGTGGGCAGGTAGAGGGCCGGCCATGCGCAGCAGCGTGGCCTGCACAACGCCAGCGTAATTCGCGGCTGGCAGCAGGGGCTGGAGCGAATAGCAATCCCTATCCACTCTGGTGACATTAACGGGTGGTGGCACTATGTGGGTTGCAAGACCTGCAAACTAATAAGTGGCTCCTGGCCCCCACCTGACGATCCCGAAGACAATGTCGGCGATGATTGCCCCGATCTTGCCCCACGCCGCGCTGGCGCCCTGGAACGTCGTGCGCACGTCAGTGGGGAAGACCTCGGCCGCCACCAGCCAGGTCGTGCAGTTGGGCCCAAACTGGTTGAAGAAGCTGGACAGAAAGTACAGGGCCTTAGAGGGATGGGGAGGGATGGCAGCATTAGGCAGTGTTTGAATTGGTTTTGTAACAGGTTCAAAGCACAACAGGTGTTTCGGCGCCAGCTCGAGCCTCAACGAGCAATGGCAGCAGGCCGGCAGGGTTCTGCGCCGCGCCAGCCTGCGGCACGCGCGCGCCGCTCGGGTGCAGCCAGCGTTGAGTGGGCTGCGGCGAGAGGCTGCTTCGAGAGGCTACGGCACCGCAAGGGGGGGGGGCTCCACCTGGAAGGCGTGGTACCCCGCGGTGCTGGCAGTGAGGGCGTGGTAGCCGGCGCCGCACGCCATGCAGAGCGCCGCCACCATGAAGAAGCCGACAGCCTGATGGTGGGGTTTGGGGGGTGGTGCAGCAGGCGGAGCGCATTGAGCATGTTGGATGGTGCAAGCAGGGCACTCTTGTGCACTGCATGCATCGTAAAATCGATGACCGAGGTGGTAACGAGGCAGGTTCATCCTGCCATAAGGAGATCGCCTGGACGGGGGACCGGTATGACAGCAGGGATCGCGGCCTTGTGACGTCCAAGGTTGCCACATCCTCGCCGGCATGGTGCCCAGCGATTCAGCATCTTGTGCCGGCCGAACCAGGGCCTGAACACCTTGCAGGCCAGCAGCCGGAGCTAGACAAGTTCAGGACCCAGGCTTGAGAGGCACGCCTGCTCATTTATGGCGGATGTGCTATAAAACATTAGGCTAGCGACTGTTTGTCCCGCACCAAAGGTTTTGTGTCTATTGTCAATCAAAGCAAAAACTGAAATTTATATTACAGCACGCACACCATGTCAACGCCCACCTGCATCTTGCGCCGCCCATACCAGGGCTTGTCCACCAGTGCGGCGGCCGCCCAGTAGCCAAGGAGGGCGATTCCGCTGTTGAGGGCCGTCCACTGGAGGCGCTGGAAGGGCGTCGCCTGGGAGACCACGGAGTGGTAAAAGGGGCAGAACCTTTCTGGCTGCCCCTTGGCAAGCAGCAAGAGCTTGTGGCTGCCCTGAGGTCAGTGTTGGTCAAATGATATTCACTGCACGATCAACAAGGCTCAAGAATGTCGGTTCACTGCAGGCTGCAATTAGGCATCCAAGTGCTGGAGCACACAGGGTGGATGAGGGTCGAGGCTCACTGTGGGGTACAGGGCTGTGAAGAACTCTGCCTGGAAGAGCATGGCCCCATAGAAGGCAAAGTTGGCCGCCATCCAGGCCAGGCAGGTCACCACCAGCCGCGGCCCAAACTCCCGCAGCACGGTGCGGTACAGGTGGTGCGGCTGCGCGCACGGGCAGCAGCGGGCCACCGACGTGTTTGTGACAAAGGAGTCGGTGCAGGCAGATATTCAGAGGCCTTGTCAAAGGCAGAAGCACTGACATGAGCGCACACAGTGTGCAGCAGAGCACGTTGGCTGCTGCGTGCCGAGACAACGGGCAGCTGGCCGGGCAGCAGCGGCAGTGGGCCTTGCAATCCACCAGAGCTGCTGCAGACCTTAATTACAGATTGTCCCGTCTTGCCCCACCCTGTCCTGCCCCACCCCGCCCGGACACGACTCAGCGCGACTTGCCCCACCCCGCGAGGCCTTGGCCTGCATCGCCGTGCCCTGCACAAATTGCCGTGCCCCGCCCCGCCCCGCGCCCTCCCCCCCAGGTGCCCTGCCTGCCGTGGCCTAGCCACTGCCAGCCCTCACCCTCTTGTTCTCCATCGTGTGGGCTATGTCAACGGCGTCCTCGCGCTCCGCCTTCCACACCTGCGCAAGTGCAATGCAACAACTGACATACTGCTGTCTGCGTACAGCCCCAGGCACCGCGCCGGCCGCTCCCAGCCAGGGGGCGGGCCCTCACCCGCTGCCGCAAGCGGCACCGGGTCCCCAGCGGCCTCAACCTCACACGTGCGCGTTGTGCGCGCAGTGTCAGCGTGCACCCGCACGCCTCCAGTTGCCTGACCCCCCCAGCAGTTGGAGTGCAGTTCAAAGCTGCCTGTGCAAAATCTTTGACCAAGTTGTCTGATGCATTTTCTCCACTGTAAGTGAAGCGTTCAGCCGCTTGCCTCGGACTCCTTGAGCTTTAGGAACCGCCAGGTGACCATGAAGGCGCTGATGACAGCTGCAACCGCAAACTGCGCCGGGGCGCAACAACGCATGTGTGCGCGTCCGAGTCAGAGAAGGGAGTGTGTTTGGTGCGGGGCTGGTGCGCTGCTGCAACTTGTCATTGGCCGTCGGGATGGCGGAGCCCGGCCGGGCCAGCAGGAGGGGCGGGCGCACCGCGTCCGGCAACCATGAATGGACTAGAATTCAGCATCGACTGCAAGCCCCAGTCCAGAACTCGGACTGCAAGGGCTTGTACCTCACAGCGCACGTCGCACTGTGAATGCCAGGCCTGGACTGCCCTCGCTGCGCGGCCACCTGACCTGCAGGATGATGATGTTGCGCGACGCGGTGGGGTCCAGGGCCTGGCCGGTCTGCCCCGCCAGCGCCATCAAGATGAGAATGACGGAGCAGTTGACGAGGCTGCCCATGCCCTGTGGTGACGGGTGCCGTGGCAGGGTGCGGCGGCAGCTTGCCATCATAATGCACAAAAGTGAACCTTTGGAGCTGCTCGAAAGGTGACAAACAGAATCTTCTCAATCTAGAGAAAATGCAGAAAGGATACGCTGAAACACACAAGGCATTTTGCAGTCAAATGTGCCATGCGGAAAGCTACGAGATCATGTCCTGCATCACAATTGCATAACTCCTGGTCGCAGCCCTGTGACATGCTGACACCCCCTCCGCTCATCAAAGCCTCTCCCCGGGCACCCCCGCCGCCCCCGCCGCGCGCCCGCCCACCTGCTGTGAGAAGGTGAGTACCACCTGCTCCCCCCGCCGCTGGCGCAGCGCGGGGTCGCTCTGGGAGCGCTCCGCCGCCGAGCTCGCCGCCATGGGGTACTGCAGTCGGCGCAGGTGCAGGACAGGAGGCAGGAGGGGCGACGGCTTGGCCTTCAATAATGCGCTGGCCGTTGGCTGGTGCGCGATTTTGGCTGGGTTGATAGCGGCGCCTGCCATGGGTCGACGCCGCCAGAGGGTCACCATGCACCAAAAATCCCAAGCTGCAGTGTGACGTCTCCTGCTGCGTGCTGGCACGCCCACTGTCAAGGCCGTGGCCCGCCTCTCTTGCATGCAGTCCCAGACCCCTTGCGTCGGACGCCACCCGGGCACCCCAGGCCACGCGCACCTCCCCTCCAACGCCGACGCCGTAGAACACCTGCCAAAGCAGCCAGGATAGGGCCGTCGAGGCAATCCGTAAGTTTGACAATTCATAAAACGACCGGCCTGAGGCAGTGGCGCAAGTCAAACCAGGCTCAGAGTCAACCAGCAGAGAGGCAAATGTCACCCTCTGCACTTACACGCACTGACGTTCGATCGGCATGCAGCCTCGCCCCCACCTGTGCAAATATAAAGAAGCGCAGGTAGGCCGCGGGGCTGTGCACCAGGGGCGTGAACACCAGCATAACGGCGCCGCTGAGCATGATGGACGCCACGATGCGGCTGTTTTGGGGGGGGGGGGTCAGGGGTGGG